ATCACAACCTTGGCGTAAAAAGTGGCGTACGCAAGTTTCTGGCCTCAAATTGTGCGTCCGCCAGTTTTACAAATCCGACCCCAGAACTGTCAGTGAGGTCATCACTTCAGAGAGCAAGGAGCATGTTCTGTATGGACGGCGTGGCTTTCCATTAAAACGGCTTCGGTCAGCTGATTTCAGCTGGGCACACATCAGCAGACACCCAGCCGAAGGTCAGCTCCATAACCTTTAGCAGCTTAAAATTAATTAAACTACATTTCTCACACTGTTGGTGCACTGATCACTGCATCTACTGATGCAAAGTATTTCTTTTGGGAAAAAACATTTTCTTCAATATCAGCAACAGTTCACTTGCTGTATGAAAAATAAGAGAAAAACAGTTAACAACAAGACAGTTAACATTTTAAACTGTATGGTTAAAATGACATTTCAGGATGTAATGATTCTTTTCTTTTTTTCTCTTTTTATTTATTTAATCACAAAATATTAAAACAGACTGTGGTGTCAGCTTGATTTCGCCTGGCAAGGACAAATCTAATGAAAAGCCAGGTCAAAGTTTGACTAATAAAGCTATTACAGAACAGCATTCAGTTTAAGAGAAGGTCATGTTAGAAGAGAGGTTCTTCATGCGACATATCTGATCTGTTGCCCAATTTATAGTTTCTAATTATTTTCTATTTTTACAGCAGGCTGATGGTGTACTTTTTTCCACAGTGAGTTTGTTTTTAGGAACACAAATCTTCAGAATCTACYAGAGTAAGTTTATTTAAAATCCCAATCCTTATCAGGATATAATTTAAGTAACTTTGTTATCAGTCAAATCTGAAACAGTGCTGTTAAAAGAACAACAAAAGTTCAAATTTCTCAACAGGTCACTGAAACTCAGACCAGAGGAGACTTTGTGGTGTCTTTCATAGAGTATAAAAGAATTATTAAATGTCACTGATGCTGTTTTTTAAGCTTCAAGTTTAACACAGCAGCACAAACATCCACTTATAACTTTTTGTAAAGAATGAAACGATGTAAAGAGGACCCAGGACACATGGCTTCAGACAGCAGAGAACAGAGAAGCAGAATTAAAACACAGCTTTTCTCTCTGGTATTTGTTTTGCTCCGTACCTTCAGCAGAACTCTTCTCTATATAAGCCTCAACACTCTGAAAGCTCTTGTACTTGACACACTTCAGTCATCACTCATGTAATTTAACGTTTCTATAAAACAAAATAATTTTTACATGTTTGTGTTTCAGTGAGATCCGAAACGCAAAAAGGCTCAAGTTTGTTGACCCAGAAGCCTTTAAACGCCTCCCAAACCTTGAGTACTTGTGAGTATTTTTAAAATGTGCTTTCTTTTTCTTACAGCTTTTCATATTGACTGATTAATTAATTAATTAATAAGTGAGAATCCACTATTTTTGCATTTTTATTTGTCATGAGGAGAGACATTCTCATCGAAGTCTGATGGGGAGACGGCCTCGAAAAGGAAAGGCATCTTCAGTGCTTGTCAGTACAGCTGTGATAACGATGTCAGATTTATAATAGAAAAATGTTATCAGTAAAAGTTCAACCCAGACCTCAGAACCTTCAGAGCTTGGCTTTCACAGCACAAATCATTTTAATTCCCAAAACTGGAGTTTCTCAATAATGCTGATGTTCTCAGTGCTGTTTCTGTTTCAGATCTACTCGTTTCCACAAACGATTTCAACCACTGAGACTTTAGCTCGTCAGCTGATTTTCAGAAATCACAAGTTTTAATGTCACTATCTTGGTCTTGCCCAAGGTCACAGCGACTGAGACACGTAGAACGGGGGATTAAACCAGCAACCCACTGGTTACAGTACTTCCCTAATCACTTTGCCACAGCCAGAAAAGCAGAACTTGATGCTTATAATCAAAATTAAATCAGCTTGATTTATAAAGGCTTTTAAACTATAATGCTGTATTTAAATCAGGGGTGGGCAATCCTGGTCCTCRAGGGCCGCAGCCCTACAGGCTTTATGTTTTTCCCTGCTCCAACACATCTGATTCAGACATTAAATTACCTCTTCCAAGTTCTACAATGTGGAGGTCCCAAACTGACATAACTAGAAAAAAAAGGCAGAAATATATAAATGGACCAATAAATAAATTCAATCAAAAATGCACTAATTAAATTAAAAAAGGAGAGCTTTACCTCACGTTTTATTATTTAATTGA